CGCTCCTGCCGCGGTCCTTTCCATTCTGCAAGTTACACACCAAGGCTGCCCCTCCCGCAGAGAACACACACTGACGCGGGAGTATGTATTTATGTCCATTTTGCCAAAACCGAGGCGAGGCGAGGCCCCTTTGGGAGGTCTTCCTGTCCACACACCACCATCCTGGACTTTGCTCTTGAACCACGTTTTGCTCTAGAAATGGCGGCGTTGTGCTCAGTAACTCACAGGACCAAAGTACCAGGCAAAATGTTGGCGCTCATAAAAAGCATTCGGAGCCCTGTGTATTTGTTAATTAGGCGTGCTTCTAAAGGTTTTATAGACTTGCAATCCCAGTCAACTATGCTGCCACACTTGTGCAACTCTCTCTTCTATACTGAAGATGGATATCTTTGGCATGCTGTCCATTGAGCATTTTAAAAGTTGTTCTCTCCTCTTAGAGACCTGTATAGCATTTGTTTGTATGGGTACACCTTAATTCATTCACCCAGTCTTTACTAGGTGGACAACTGCGTCGTTTCCAACTGTTGGCCAATATAAATTGCTGGTTTCAACAACTTTGTGCAGTATTTCCCATATGCATGGGTTGGATAGATTTTTAAGATTTTTATTTATTTGAAAAACACAGGTAGATAGAGAAAGAGGTCTTCCATCCACTGGTTCACTCCCCAAATGGTCACAACGGCCAGAACTGAACCAATCCGGAGCTGAGAGCTTCCTCCGGTCTCCCACACAGGTACAGGAGCCCAAGCACTTGGGCCAAGCCATCAGCAGGCAGCTAGATTGGAAGTGGAGCAGCTGGGACTCAAACTGGTGCCCATATAGGATGCCGGTGCTGCAGGCCTGGGCTTTAACCTGCTGAGCCACAGTGCTGGGCCCTGGATATTTCTCTTGAAGTGGAATCTGGGGACAAAGAGCTAGTTCTGATTATTTCTATACTGCCTTCCATCATCAGTGTACACAGGACCTATTGCCCACCCTCACCAACCCAGAGCATTGAAACTTTTTTTTTTTTTTTTTTTTAAAGAAATGTAGAGTTACAGAGAGATCTTCTATCTGCTGGTTCATTTCCCAAATAGCCACAAAGACTGGGGCTGGGCCAGGCTGAAGCCAAGAGCTTCTTGCTGGTCTCTCACATGGGTGCAGGGGCCTAAGGACTTGGGCCATCTTCCACTGCTTTCCCAGGCCATCAGCAGGGAGCTGGATTGGAAGTGGAACAGCCGAGACTTTAACTGGTGCCCATATGGGATACCAGTGCCACAGGCATCAGCCTTACCCACTATGCCACAGCTCTGGCCCCACACAGCTGTGTCTTAAACAGGCTTTGTAATGTGCCCCCTTTACTAATGGAGGGCTGACAATTCCCAGGGCCAGTGCTAACTCCAGAGCCCAGCCATCAGGCTGAGTGCTTGGTAGCTGTGCAGCCTTGGCAGAGGGACTCCACCTCTGTGCCCTCAGCAGTGACTTGTTCCTGGAGTGGGGATGTTCAGGCATTAACAGTAGCAGCCTCATGGGTTCTTGGGGGGGTGGGGGAGGTTGGAACAGTGCCCAGCAACACCAAAAGCTCTCAGTATTTACGGTCGTGTTAAGTGCTGCTGGCTCCCAGGAGACACGCATACCCTCTCCAGAACCAAATACATTTTGCCCTGAAGGAACCACCCCATCGCTTTCTGCACCAGCGGTAGCGGAGAAGAGCGAGCAGTGGGGTAGCAGGTGCAGCGGAGAAGTTGTCACCTGGCATGCCTGCGTCTCGTGCTGGAGTACCTGGTTTGAGTCCTGGCTCCTCCACTTCTGATTCCAGTTTCTTGCCAGAATGCTGCAGCCTGGCAGGCAGCAAGGTGATGGCTCATGAACTTGAGTCTCTGCCACCCACATGGGAGACCTGGAGGGAGCTTCTGGCTTTGGCCTGGCCCAGCCCTGGCTGTTGGCAGGCATTTGGGACAGTGAACCACAGGATGGAAGGTCTCTCTGGCCTTTGAAATAAAAGGGGGAAAAATTGTTTAAATGTCAGCCTGGACAGGGGAAACTGATAGCACTGCTTGGACATCCATTGGTTGATGAGCCCAGAATACTCCGGAAGCAGAGGGGAAGTAGCATTGCCTCTGGTGGGATCAAGCATGCGCAGGAGCTGGAGCAAGAGAGATCACAGATAAGACAGAGGGAAGGGGTCAGCTTCCAGATACTTCCAACACCACCAGCATCCACCCCTTACAAGCTCCAAGACTGACGTTTTTGCTCCCCGACCCCCTTTTTGAAACAGTATATGTGCAAGTTCTCAGAACTGACACAAAGTAGGAATTCAGTCAGTGTTGCTGTGTGAAAGTCCTAGGATCCTACATTGTTGTCATGGAGTAAATGCTGCGTAAATATTTACAGAAAGAAAAAATGCTTTGAAGACGTCCTTTCCAGTCTTCCCACCCTCCCCACGTCACCCCTCCCCCACTCTTTCTGCACTTTATCTTTTGCCGCTTCCCTCCAGCATTTGTCTCCAGCCACTGACCTAAAACCCAGCTTCCCCCAGGCCAGCCCTGCGGGGACTTGTTGCCTGCGGTGCCCAGCCAGGAGGACTGGGAGTACAGAAGCGCTTCCTCCCCCTCCTCCACACTGTCCCAGATCCTTGTTCAATGAAAGGGAAGCTGTGAGTGATGCCCATGGAGGGGCACAGCCCTGCTCCCTGGCTGAAGCTCTGGGCGATTCTCTTTCACTAGTTTGGGCCACCCTGCTCTGGGTCCCGGCCTTGCATAACCCTGGCTGCGCCAGCTGACCACAGGCAGCCCTCGCAGGCCCTGGAACAACACACTGCCACGGCAGCTGCCTTCCTGGCCGTGCAACCCAGGGCAGCTGTTCCTCCTGCGGCCTCAGTGCCCCGGCCACTCCTGCCGGCAGCACCGGGGGCCCTGGGCTGGGACCGTGTGCTGTGCACTTCCATCAGAAGGGAGTTCTGTGGAAACACCGGAAGCTGCAACCTGTGTTCTTGCCTCAAGACCCAAATTAGAGCTCCATAAACTTAGGGGAATCCGGCCCCATGAGCCTGTCATGTTTGGCATCTTCCTTGTCTGCCCACTCTGAGGGGGGAGCAAACCTCCACCCCACACACCGCAAGCCAGCCCATTGCCCCAGGTGCCTGAACAGTAGGTGGACACGTGACCCCGCCAGCCCCTTCCCAGTGAATTGTTACCTTGCCAGTGGCTGGCTGAGCACAGCTCTTGTCACCTGTCACTGGCAGATGAATTTAAAACTCTTGCTGAAAGGAAAGAAAGATGAGGGAGAAGCCGAGGAGGGGCTCCTGCTGCTACAGAGCCCAGGCGGCGCTCTCCACCCCATCAGGCCCTCCGTGGGCTTGTTCGTAGACTCTGTGGCCAGGCAGACAGGGGAGGTCACCGCGGAGCCACTAGGGGCGTTCTCGCAGTGGGAAGGTCTCCGCTGCTCCCTGGCAGTAGATGCTGATGGGGTTGAAAGATTATTTTCAGGAGATAAGAGTTTCTCCTCAGTGAAACAAGGGCTGCTTCCAGCTCTTGTGATCTCGGCATACGATGCGGGGTTACTTTAGAGGGTCTTCAGAAAAATGGAATTGGAAAGTGAGTTTATTTTGATCCAAAAGTCTCGTTATCTGTGTGTTTTTTTTTCATAGTATGTATTTTCCCTGAGTTGTGTGAAGACCCCACGTACGTGCAGGGGGGTGTCAATCTTCTACACTGGGAGCAAATTCCCACACCCCTCGGAGCGGTGACAACACCCATCTATGAGCTCCCAGTTCCTGTGTGGCAGGAATCCAGGCCCAGTGTCTCGCTGGGCTGTGACTCAGGTGGGGGCCAGGACAGCGGTATTCTCGGGGTTGGGGGGGGTAGCCCCTCCCAGGCTCCCTCGTGGCACAGCTGGAATTCATCTCCCGAGGCCCCCTCCCGGCGCCACAGCTTAGGCTTCCAGAGCCAGCAAGTAAAGTCTCACCCTCGCCGGCTCAGGAACCACACCATCGGTGACCAGTCACCTTTGCTGTGTCCTCTTGGTTAGAAGCGAGTCACTGAATCCACTTGCAAAGCCATTAACATCGGGAGCCAGATTGCAGGGGGCCACCCCAGAACGTGCAGAAGACCCAACCTGTTAAGATCAGCACGCCTTTCCTTTGAAATGAAGCAGTTTGTTCTCCTTCCATCCCAGAATACCTCCATAGCCTGTAACCCTTTGTATTCTTGGCTACTACTGGATCCCAACACCAGCTCTTCTGTTTACTGATATGTTAATGACACCAGGTATTTTTTTTTTTTACTCCAGCCTCTCTGTTCTCTCATTTGTAAAAATTCATTTTCCTACCTTTTATTCTTTTAAGATTTATTTATTTGAAAGAGAGATCTTCCATCTGCCTGTTCACTCCCCAGATAGCCACAACAACCAGGGCTGGGCCAGGTTGAAGCCAGCAGCTTGGAACTCCATCCAGGTCTCCCATGTGGGTGGCAGGGGCCCAAGCACTTGGGCTACCAGTAATCAGCGGGATCAGAAGTGGTGCAGATGGGACATAAGGGGTTACAGGCGTTGGTCTAACCCACTACGCCAACACACGGCCCCTCTCCTAAGATTTTATTGGACACTAGCATCTAATAGTCACTGGAAATTTCCTTATAGGACTAATAAAAACGCTATCTGTCTTGATGGTGTGCACAGCAGAGCAAAAGAGAAAATATATTTGAAAACAAATCAAGTTGATTCTAAGCTGAAATCACTCTGGTCACCGGCTGAAAGCAGGTCTTAGAGGAAGATGACAAAAATCCAACCTGTCCAGAAGTGGTGGTGTCACTGGCTTGGGGCTCTTCCGTCTCTCTCTCCTATTGCTTTTCTGTTGTCCCTTAAAACTAAGCTTGGCAAAACCGTTATTAAGCCGAGTTTGTACCCTGCTTGGGGACGGGGGGACAGTAAGACGAAGTGGAGCCGTAGGTGGGCACCGGCCCTGCCGTCGTGGGTGGGCCCTGAGCGTCACGCGTTGTAACCCGCTCCCATTCCTTCTCCAGGTTTCTCCTCGCTCCGGAGGGCGCTGGATGATGTAACCGGAGCGACTGGCAGACCCCACCGCATTCCCCGAGGCTGCTGGAGTAAAATGATGTGACGCTTCCACCCACGAGGCTCTCTTCCGAAACACACAACAGCGGAGACGAAAGCAGGCCTCCCCCATCCCACCGCGTGCTAAGCAGGCACCCCCAGATCCCACGATGCCAGCCAAGACCCCGATTTACCTGAAAGCTGCCAACAACAAGAAGGGGAAGAAGCTGAAGCTGAGGGACATCTTGTCCCCCGACATGATCAGCCCCCCGCTTGGGGACTTCCGCCACACCATTCACATCGGCAAGGAGGGCCAGCACGACGTCTTCGGGGACATCTCCTTTCTTCAGGGCAACTACGAGCTGCTGCCCGGCCACCAGGAGAAGGCGCGCCTGGGCCAGCTGCCGGGGCACAACGAGTTCTTCCGGGCCAACAGCACGTCGGACTCGGTGTTCACGGAGACGCCCTCGCCCGTGCTCAAAAACGCCATCTCCCTGCCGACCATCGGAGGCTCCCAGGCCCTCATGCTGCCCTTGCTGTCACCGGTGACGTTCAGCTCCAAACAGGAGGCCTTCGGGCCGGCCAAGCTGCCCCGGCTCAGCTGCGCACCTGTGGCCGAGGAGAAGGCGGCGGAGGACGGCGGCGTGCTGGGGCACGGCGCGCTGCGCCAGGGGGACGCGTCGTGGGCGTCCAGCGGCTCGGCGTCGCAGTCCAGCCAGGGCAGGGACAGCCACTCCTCCAGCCTGTCGGAACAGTACCCCGAGTGGCCGGCCGAGGACCTGTTCGAGCAGCCCGCGCCCTGCGAGCTCGCCCAGGGAAAGGCTAAGTCCGAGGAGTCCCTGCCTGACCTGACGGGCTCGCTGCTCTCCCTGCAGCTCGACCTCGGGCCCTCGCTCCTGGATGAGGTGCTCAACGTCATGGACAAAAATAAGTAGCGGCACAGCCAGTTCTCGTCCTTGTGGGGTAACAGGTAGCCGCACCAATACCACCACGGAGACCAGAGCGCCCGCTGCGGAACAGGAGAGCGCCCGCGGCCGTGTTTGCCGCTGGGGGATGGGTTTTCTAAAGTAACGTTCCTACAAAGTATTTTTTTACCTGTTATGCTCTTCCTGTTGGCAAAAACAATGGGGGGGCGGGGGGGAGGAAGAGGACAAGCAAACCTGGCCGAAAGAGGAAATGAGGAGTCGGGGCGCCTTTTCAGCTGCGTGCTGGTGTTCAGCTCCGTTGCTTCTTGGCAGACACAGGAGGAGTCTGGTTTGGCCAGGACTGATACTAACTACGAAGGGCTGGTCCAGTCATCCTGAGACTCCGACATTTCCCGAGCAAGAGGAAGTCGGAATTTATTTAACACTTAAGCCTGTTTTTGTTTTTTTCTAGACTCTTTTCTATATCACATTGGTTTGGGCTCAGCCTGGCAAATTCTCCAGTGTTAAACGTTTTTGTCTGTTTTCACATCTGAACAACTTTATAGGCTTTTGGGAGATTCTCTTGTACTTCTTATATATATATATCCCTATATATTATTATATCTGTATTGCAAACTGTTGACCATCAGCTACATGTTGGTAAGACGTAAGCAAAGTATGACTGTAACTAAGTTATTTTTAAAGTTAAAATATATTTTTATGTGCCTTTGGCTTTTTATTGCAGAGTCTACATTTTATAGAGGATACATCCAGTGTTGCCCTCTGACCTGTCTCCCTTGGGGTTCCATTGTAAGCCGTGCATGTGTCTGTCTGGGGAAGTATCTTCATACCTAGCTTTATTTTCCCCCTCTGTGTGTTATCATACGAAAGTGTAAAGGCACAGGTTACTCATAATGCTTCTGCAGAGACTCTGGGCTACACCATGCAATGTTATTTGGAAATATAAGTATTTTAGTACAGTACATACTTGCATTACATAGGTACTTCATACAACACAATAAAGAGTAAATGTTAAAATTGAGCTTGCCTGTTTATAGCAATGAACATGAGATAAGAATGTTTCTCTGAATGTAGCTAGAAAAATTACATCAGTATATGCAACCCTTTAGAATAAGGTAGAAAATGCTTTCTATCTACCTTATTCTGATTACTTCTCAAAGTTTGAGAGTCTAGAAACAGGGCCTCTCGACTTTAGGAGAAATGAGCATGTGATGTCCGAATCTGTTTATCCACACTGGTACCGGTCTCTCAGTGCTTGGATCTGGGGGGCCCCTTCCTTTAACCCCTGCTTCTGCAGACTGGAACCCTTCATGTCTGCACGGCGAGTGCTTGTGTGGACAAGCCCTGCTGTGCATGGTCGAGACTGAGTAGAGGAAGGCAGGAGAGAGCGCCCCACCTCCATTGCCCCAAGGACGTTGGTTGATGAAACAGGAAGGGGAAGTTCGTGAACAGATTCCTGTGCCTTTACCAAGCACTCCTTACCCCTCAGAGGAAGATACCTGACAGTAACTTCCGGCTCTTTCTCCTGGAAGTGTATTCTCGAAGTAGCCTCCCTTCTCAACTACTTGAGTGATTCTTTCCCTAAGTTTGGAGCTGTCGCAATTCTGTCATCACCTGAAATCGCCTTTGACCTGCAGGTGGAATGCACTTGGGATGACTAAGGAGGAGGAGAAGCGAGTTCCTTTAGAACACTGTGTGCTTTCCTTCATCTCCCAATTGCTTGAGTGCCTATCTCATGACTTTCTAGTGTTCTTTTCCTGTTGGGCCACACCCTGCACACAGGTTACAGCTTCAGATGGAGACTTCCAGCATCGTGTAAGTCTTGCTAATGAGGAAGAGGCCAGTGTAACTTGTACCCTGTAGCCGATTTTGCCAGACTCTTCCAACATCGTTATTATTGATCATATTCAGTCTCCCATTTCAGCCTTCATTTGTAGGATGGCCTCCGGGAAGAGATTAAACTAACTGGTGAGATGAGTAGTGTGCCCGTGTGTCTTCTCTGCTGCCTTGCTGGGAAGTCTAGGAGACTGCTCCAGCAGGCCTGAGTTTGATACAGCTGACAGAATCAAGCATCCTGTGTGTGTCTACTTTCTCTGGTCCCTTTCATACATATCCTGTCCTGTTAGGTTAAGTGTAACTGAGAGGACAACAAGCATGCCCTTATTAGAAAGCTCACACGATTTTGTTGAATTGGTTCTCCAGTGGCAGCCCTCCTAGTGCCTGTCCCTTCTGCATGGATCAGGTACACAGCTGGAGGTGGCTTGACGTGCACCTGTTGAGAGCCTAATTGATGTTCTCAGCCCTGAGCAGTTACACACAGAACCTAATTTATCCTCACCTTGTTTAAAGGTTAAGGAACCCAAGATGCACTTAAATTTGAAAAGTCAGACAGTTCACCTGTGGTGTAGCAGATGGAAAAGAGCCCGTGCAGATTGTGAGCTTGAAGGTTCACGTAGGCAAGTTTCTTGTCGGTGATCTTTTACTGGGCAATGAGACCTAATAGGACAAGCTATATTATTTATTTTATTTTTTTTATTTTTTTATTTTTTTTGACAGAGTGGACAGTGAGAGAGAGAGACAGAGAGAAAGGTCTTCCTTTGCCGTTGGTTCACCCTCCAATGGCCGCCGCGGCCGGCGCGCTGCGGCCGGCGCACCGCGCTGATCCGATGGCAGGAGCCAGGAGTCAGGTGCTTCTCCTGGTCTCCCATGGGGTGCAGGGCCCAAGCACCTGGGCCATCCTCCACTGCACTCCCTGGCCACAGCAGAGAGCTGGCCTGGAAGAGGGGCAACCGGGACAGAATCCGGTGCCCCGACCGGGACTAGAACCCGGTGTGCCGGCGCCGCTAGCGGAGGATTAGCCTAGTGAGCCGCGGCGCCGGCCTATATTATTTCTGCCTAAAGTTATCTGTTCAGAAAGATAACATATCAGGGTGCTTTGCTCTTCACAAATACGCAGTTTTCCATTATCACACTTCAGTGAGCCCAAACCACTGTCAACAGGCATGGACAGAAGACTGCACTGGCTTAATAGAAAGTCGGGTCTCCAGAATCACAGTCTAGTTCTTGTATTACCGCAAGCTACCGTTTTTTACCCCCTAGACTCCCCACAAACACTTAAGGTCATGGGGTAGAGAAAATCCTCATGTCCATTCGTTAAGCTGATAAGTGCTTAGAACAAACAAAAGAAAATTATACATTAGGCAGTGGTTCTAATCTTCCTAATAGGGACCCTTCAGAGACTGGGTAATTTTACTGTGAAACACATAAGCACAATAGAGTCTCTCCTTTGAAAATTACGTTATCAGCTTGGTCCCAAATTTAGTAGTTCTAATAACAAAATTCTCTGTTTTTAGGAACAGTCCACCAGATTAAGAAAAAACAACCAACCATTCCTATTAAACAGTTCAGTAGTCCATGCACATAAGGTTCTTGGATGTTGCCCCGGGTTGCCACTCACACTGGTGGGCCAGATCCAGCAAGATAGAAGTTTTTGGATGCCAAATTAACCCAGATGGGTAGCCTCCTGGCTTGTTCATTTACAGAGGGTTCAGAGCTACTCACATGTTAACTTACTAGTGCTGGCTAAACAACATGTTTATTTTCTAAAGAAGATGGTCTCTGGTGGATTTTCAACACACTTGTTTCATCTGACAACACCTGGAACATCCCATGCCTTATTCTGACGGCACACCATTTCATCTAGCAAGCTTTCCGTCTGAGAATGTTTCATTGTCAACCTTCTTAGATCAAGTAGGTTTGAATATTTGTGTTGTCAGGGAGTCATGATTCTGTGGTAAAATGCTACAAAGAATGTCATGTGGAAAAATGGGAACTATGCTTATTTTTGTGAAATGATGTATAATGCAATGAAATTGTTTTACAACTACTGTGCTGCATTTAATTATATTCCATTTTTAATTTAAAAAATATGATAGTGATGTCATTTCCATTGGCTTCCAAGGGAAGTCAATCATCGTTATCCTTTGAAGATCAGCCAGATTTCTTCCATGGAAAGCAGATTGACACGGGTGAGAGATAAAAACAGCTGCCCGAATCAAAGCCATCATACAGAATTGAGTTACTATTCCAGAAACTTGCCACATGCCCAGAGATGTCTGCCACACATCAAAATTAGCACAGCTGAATACGTGAAATGGGGATTATGCTCACCATAAAATTATTACTGGATATGCCACAAAGCCTATGTGTGGTTCATTGCCGAAGGATCACTGGGACGAAAGAGCTGTGAATTTTAGGGAGGGATGATGAGCTGGAGCAGCTTCGTGGGACAGAAGGACCCAAAAGGGACCTCAGAGGACAGATGAAATTTCCTTAGGGAGAAGGGAAAGTCATGAATAACTCAATCTACTCCCATCCTGCCAGTCTACTCTAAACAATCTAGGAACAGGATTGCCTGGAAGACTGGACTCACTGCTGAGGACACTCCTAGTGGAAGAAGAGGATTCTGGAACCAGACTGCTGAACAGGTGGTTCCCAGGATGAAACACTTTTATAAAGTTAAGCACCATCCTGGGACAGCCCCTGCCCAAGTCCATGGTGCCTGTTCTGTGACCTGCAGGCCAGAGGGAGCACTGGACTAGTAAGGCTGATGTGCCGGGTCCTGGGAGAGCTGTTTAGGTGCGGGACGAGGGGCTCAGTGTCTCCCGAAGCAGCCTCAGAGGAAACAAGTTCATTAGAGTACGGGCAGCTGGCCCACCCGCAGCACCCCAGGGACCTCCTCCTCACAGCCTGTATTTTCTCACTAGCTATCTGCAGGATTAGGAGAGGAAGGTTCTCAGGAGACAGAAAGAGGAGTCCAAATGTCACGGAAGAGTCTCCACTGAGAATTTCTTCCTCTTGGGTCCTTGGAACCTGAGGGGGCCAGAGGTTCTCGTTTATTGGTTAAGAAAACCAACTCCAGAGGAGAAACATACCTTCCCTGAAGCTCTATCAAACCTCAAGTATGGCCCAAAACAGGCCCAGGGAGTGGCACAAAGTCTTGGACTTTAGAGTACCTGGCCCTTCCCAGGGTGATTTCTGGACTGCCTACCCTTCAGATGAGACCACATTCACTCCCAGAGTGAGCCTTGACCCTACAGGGTGCATCAGGAAAATGGTCACACGTAACAAGGCCCCCAGCTCTGACAGCACAAATACCCACCATAAACAGTGACAAGTTCCCTCCATTAGCATTTGGATCTTGAAAATCCCAACAAGGAAATCCTATCAGGAACTGCTTCCTTAGAAACTTCCATCTGTAACTAAAGTCACAGCCAAGGTGCATTGAGACTTAAAGGAACATTGACCTCGGATCCATGCCCAGCCTTGTCTGTAAGTGAAATGCAGGGTCACCTGAGTGACCCTGGGAAGATGGTCCAGCTCCAGTTTCTCCTCAGCTGCCCCAAGGCTGGGAAATCTACCATTGGAGGTGACATCCTTCAGGCATCACCTTAGATGCCAGAAGTGATGGCGCCTGAAAACCACCAACACGGCACTCAGCAGGTGCACACGTCTCAAGTGACAGGACCGGGCCAGGGGAAAACAAGAAGCGTGAAGGTAGGGTTCACTCTAAGAAATAAACGGGTAGTGGGAGAAGCTTTTGACTCCACAGCCAAGACTGAGCTGCCTCTGTCCCGCATCCGTGCTGGCGAGTCCTAGCTCCTCCGCTTGCAATTCAGCTTCCTGAGAAGCAGAGGGGATAGCTCACATGTTTGGATCCTTGCCACCCACGTGGGAGATTCAGATTGGGTCCTGGGCTCCAGGCTTGGCCTAGTCCAACCCTGGTGGTTGTGAGTATTTGTGGGAGTGAACCAACAGACGGAGGATCTCTGTCTCTATGCCTTTTGAGTGGAGTGAAAATGAATAATTTTAAAAGAGGATAATGAAGAGATAGGAAAATCTCTTCACCAAATTCTATTACCAAACGTAGCCTTCACCAGAGGGGATAATAAAGTTTATTGTTGGCTGGTCTCCCTGGTCCTAGAGGAGTACATACAGCCATTGCAATTAAATCGAGTTTGG